TAAATATTCCTAATTAAGCTTTTAAAAAAAACTAATATCTTCATCAAACACAAAGTATAAAAAACACAAAATTACAAAAAAAAGTAGATTAATAGGAAATAGATTATAATATCTTAATTAATATCAACATAATATCACAAAATTAATAGTAACTTAAAGAACTGAGAAAACAGATACATATAGCAAAGAATATAAAAAACAAAATTATATAAACTATATAAATAGAGCAAGCAATTAAACTTAATTAAGTCAATTTTTAATATAATTATGGCAGAATGCTGAATAATATCCTAAATAAAAAAGCTTTATCTATCTTAATCAATAAAATATATCAAAATAAACATCTAATAGAATACCTAACTGAAGTTAAAAATACAGTATGAGAATATTTTAATCAATAGCATAGAAAATGTAATATATAAACTGGCTATCTTAATAATGAAAAGATATTTATAAATCAATAGAATTAATAGAAAGTCATATATTTAATCCAGTTATGAAATTTATTATAATTAAAGAACTCCAAGATCAAATAGCATTAATTCATTCTAATAAAGCTATAGGAATTAATCTCATTAAAATTGCATTTTAACAATATTATAGAAGCAAAATTTACATGATGCTTATTACACTTTTTAATAAATGCCTAGAGAAATAAAATATATCTCATAAATAAAAACAGACCAGTATTATTTTCATTCCTAAATCAACAGACTGGGAGAGAAATCTAGATATAACAAGATTAATAGCTCTTCTTGATATAGCTTGAAAGTTATTTACAAGAATCATTATCAGTTACATCTCAAATATCTATATCAAACATAATATTCTTAAAGATAATAACTTTTTAGTATTAAAAAATACTGCTATAAATAGCCTATTACATATAATTAATAATATAATAGAAGATATATGTGAACACAAAAAAGAAATCTGATATATTTTTCAAGATATATATAGAATATATAACTCTGTCAGCTAGCTAATTTTAAAACTCAGCCTAACATAGATAAAAATAAATTCTAGATATATCAAGCTATTATAAAATATTCAAATAACAGAATATAGGCTTACAGAACTATATCTAGTGAGAGATGATCTAGATTAAGAAGAAGTATACTCTCTAATTCTATAATATATTTTTTATGATTCACTATTATATATGATTAACTCAATTAAAAATATTCATGAATATAATATTAATAACTCAATCATTCACTTTCTACACTTTCAATCAGATCAAATTAATATCAATATAGCAAGTCTAGCATTTGTAAATAATACAGTCTGGATTTCTAATTTCAAAAAAATCATAACTGATATTCTCAAGCTTGCACAAGAATTCTATAATATGTGTAATATAGAAATCAATACTAATAAAACAGAAATAATCTCAATCAACCTATCAAAACTAAATAAAGATATCAAGATATCCTTCTAATAATTCAAATCAGAAATAAAAATTATCTTACCTAATAATTATACTAAATATCTAGAAATTTTAATCAGCACAGATGGAAAATTCAAAGCTTAATAATAGCAAATTGAAGTAAAAGTCAATTCAATAACATTTATAAAAAAAAATACAGAGTTTTATTTCTCACAATAGAATATAAAATCTAGTTTTTTACCCTATCAAACATCTTCTATAATACAATAATGAGGAAAATCAAAAAAGTAATCAAGCAAAAAATATCATTACTCTCAGATAGTTTAGATTCAATACTATTTTATCTAGCATAACTTGCACAAGATAACATCTTTGATATCTTAGCATGATACAAAATTTCAGAATTATTTCTCTAACTCAAAAATAGCACATTAATTGATATGATTACTTACATTAGACTTCAGCAATTATAATTTTAATAATAGTTAGAAATCTTAATTCTAGCCTTATCTATATTTGAAATAAGTTTTATTGAAAAAAACTTAATTGCAAGCATTATTCTACTAAGATATCTCTACAATATTTTCTTCTGATCTATAAATAATGATAAATCAATATTATAAACTATCTTCTTTAAATGATCTTTAACCCAAATCTTAAATAACTGACCAGATTATAGACAAGATTATAAATTATTAGTCCAAGAAAATATACTCTTTTTATCATAATTAACTAAATATAATGGCTCACAATTCATATTATGAAAATAATATAAATGCAAATACAGAAATACAGCACATAGATATGAACCAAAATAATTTGCAAATATAAAATAAAGAGTAATTATACCAAATATACCTACTAGAATAAGTATTATCAATAAATAATATAGTATAATTCAAGCATACTACAAGATATCAGAACACAAAGTCTCAAAATATTTCAATAGTAACTTAGCTTTCTACACAGAATAACAAATTCTAAAATCAAAAATGAATATACTAAACATTAATATATTCTTCACAGATAGATCTATAGCAAATACAGGATTCTCAATAATAATAACTGAAGCAATATGAATAACATGGCTCTCCAATCTTAATTTCAAATTTGCTATAAAAAACTCAATCTCTATCACTAAAATAGAACTATTTACAATTTGTACTTTATTAAAAATTTTTTCTCTAAACTTTAATATTCAAATTTCAATTGACTGTCAATCAGTAATATAAGATTTTAAATATAATATAATATATTATATCAAATAATCCATAAGATAACTATATTAATAATCAAACTGATCACTTTAAAAAATCCTAGCTCATAATATCAGTACAAATAATATAAATATAATACTTAATAAAGTTAAAGAATATTCAAATAATTTAGATAATGAGATAGCTAATCAATTAACTAATTAGGATTGCAAATCAAATCATTTATTCATATTAATTTTTAATCAAAATATAGAAATAGAGTCAAATTTGTGATAATTCCTTAAAAAATATTATCACAATACAAATATAATCAAATGACAATATGAAAATAGGATTAATAAAATACTTTAATCATTATATTATTTCTATCCAAATAATAGTCAATAAAGAATCTGAATCCAAGAAGAAGAGAATATCTTATACTTAAAATACTTGAAATATTCTATTATGATTTTAGCTTTTTTATATTTATATTATGATCTATTATAACTATTCAAATAGTAATTATAAGTTAATTCATATATTGAATATTAAGAATCTTTTGTTCTTCACTCTATTTAAAAAGATGAATACTAGAAGTTAGAATATATATTAGATCAGATTTAGACTTTTTTTATTTTTCAGATTTTAAGCTAAAAACTAATTATTTTTATAAATAAAGCTTATACGTCAAGTAATATTGATATTTAAAATACTATATCCTAAATATATTAATATTTTTTGTTTTAATTAATTTATTAATTATAATATTATGATAACAAATATATTAATTATGACAAAAATAAATTTAAGTTCTGAAAATATACAACTTAAGATATATAATAGTTGATATATTGATAAAAATGAAGAAAGACATATATAATTAATACTATTTTCTAATTATTATCTGATCAAAAAACTAAGAGATTAATCCAAAGATATTAAACAAGTACTTATGGAATATAATCTTTGGCTATTAAAGAAAGTTTATTTGATATATAAGAAATACTTAGAGAAATATAATGATTTGATAAGATTAGATTATTATATACAAAAAATTTTGTTATTTCAGCCTGATTTTTATGAATAATAATTAATATTGCATGAAGCAATTATGAATACAGAATATATCTTTGAATATTATTTAAAATTCTATTATAAATGTAATTTTATAGAGTGATACTGGAGATTTTTAAAGCAAAAAATTAGATACTTATATAATTATAATTATATACTATAACTAATCACTTATTCATATAATGCAGTAGATATAGTGCAGTATATAGCACAGCCATAGCATATGATGTAATAATTACTAATCACTACTAAATTGGATGAATAAGTAATTTTATTATTTATAATTAATTCTATTTTTAATCTATATCATTATTCATATTTAGCCTTATTCAAATATTAATTTAGCTATGTATATCATATCTAATTTATAGTTTTATCAAATTAATAATTTTTTAATTAATTATTATTAATTTTCTTTCATTTCTTGCTTTAGCTTTGAATAACTTAATATTTTGCTAATTTAAATTCTTTATTATCATATATTTAATATTCTTTATAATTATTCTTTTGAAATTTTACTTATTCTTAATTAAATTAAGTGAAACATTATGTTAGAAATAATTTGTAATTAGTGTAACAAGAAAAATATTATATATAGAAAGTTAAGAAGTGATCAAGAAGATAATTAAGTTTGATAGAAATAATTACTACTGAGTTAAGAGTAGTTAATTAGTATTTTTCTTTAATAAACACATATATTTTATCTTATATCTTATCTTATTTTCTTCTTGCTCTATTTTGATCAAAAATAAATTTATGTATATTATTTTATTGAGAAGATAATCATATTCTTGTTATAAGTAAAACACGTATAAATTATTTTATTGAAAAGATAATCATATTTTTGTCAGAAGTAAATTTCGAATCTATCATCTTATTAAGAAAATAATTAATTATATAATCTCTTGAAGTTATAAAAGTTAATAACTATTATGAATAGAGCTGCAGATATTTCTCAGATCTAGAATAGCTATCTCTATGGCAAATGTCATGTCTCTATGTCAATTTAACATATGACGTAGCCAGAGATATAAGATATAATAGGTAATGTTTGCCGTATGCTGTGATATATATTGCATAACGTGCTATATGCCATGTGATATAATGTGATATGATATAACATAATATTATATGCCGAGCTCATAGAATCCATTTTACATGTAATTTCAATATACAAATGAAATGACCTGGCTATGGAAGAGATCCAAGATTAATATGCCAGTAATAACTATGAGCAATAACTCTAGCAGACACTGCATATAGCAAGAGTAACTGTCCTGTATTATCTTTCTTGATCATTTCTCACACATCTGATCACACATGCTATTTTTTTCTTAATGGATCATGAAGAAGAAACCTTACGCAAACAGAATAGACATTTATTTGAAGAACTAAGTCAAGATAATAGTTCAGAAGATTCTTATTATCAGATAACTACTATTGATATAATTACTATAACTGATATGACTACAGCTGATACAATAATTACTATAACTGACACTACTAATTTCATGGTAATAAATCAAGACCAAAAAGAAAAAGATAATATAAAGAACAAAACCAAATAATTTTCAGAGATATGAGATTATTTTTTAATGAGAAAGGAAAAAAGTAATGGACATTATGAAGCTATATGTAATTATTGTAAGAAAAAATAGACAAGAGACAAATTAGCAAAATTGGAAGCACATTTAGCGAATGAATATACTCCATGTCCTGATGTAATATCACGATATTGGCATAACAAAGTTGCTGAATATAGTCTAAGTTATATGCATAACTCAAAAAACCAAGTTTTACCATCACCATTTTTCCAAATAATAATCAACTCTTATTATATATCCAATCATCCTTTACCAAATACAACTATTCACTGATTTGATCAAAGAATATTAAAAATATTAAAGGTATGGATAATGACTAGAATTCCTTTTAGTGTTATTGAAAATCCATTTATTCAAGACATGTTCAAAGAATTTCAACCAGGATATCATCTATCATCTAGAACTACTTTATTAGGTTGACTTCTTGACGAAGAGTTAGCATAGGTAAATCAAGCAATTGATAATAATTTAAATAAAACAGATTATCTAACTTTAGGTAATAATATTATATTTAAATAAAATTTAATATATATATATATATATTAATAATTTTTTATATTGATAATAAAGCTTTAGATGGTTGGACTACACCAATAATGAAATTAATTTACAATTACATAATTACAACTGATACGCGAAAAGAATATCTTCTCAATCTTTGAGATTATTTGGCATAATTTCATATTAGTAATTTTTTAGCTAATGAAATATCAGACATTATTAAAAAAATTGGAATGGACAAATTTGCTGCTGTAATAACGGATGCTACTTCAAATTGTAATGCAGCATAACATAAAATACAAGACACCTATCCTCATATTTGAAACATCCATTATACTATTCACGCTATTAATCTAATTACAACTGATTTAGTAAAATTGGAGAATCTGAAAAAATTAATTAGTAATTGTGAAAAAATCAACTATTTTTTCAAAACTTCACATGCTGGTCATTCACTAATTACTAAAGGGTTTGTTGATATGAAAATTAAGGGTGATGGATTAAAGACTTGAGTAAAAACTTAGTGGGGATCTTTGTTTATGACAACAGATTCAATACTTTGTGCAAGACCTATATTTGATTAGGTAAGTATTAGCCAATAAAATTTATATTAATTATATTAAAATCTTATATTATTATTTAATTATAGATTCTTGCTGAACATCGAGAGATAATTACCAATGAAGATGTTATTAATTTAATAACCAATGAAGATTTTTTCTTAACTTGTCGAATGATACACTCAATTTGGAAATCTATCAAAGAAGTTATTTATATTTTGGAAGTAAATAATGCAACATTAGCCAATTGTTTTATTTATTTAATAAAATTGGCAGTTGCAATTAATCGCTTACCTGAAGTAAATACTTTCAAGATTCCAGCTATCCATATTTTTAACTATCATTATCAAGAATTTTTGCATTCACTTTATATTCTGGCTTATTATATTCATCCATAATATCATGGTAAGCAATTTCTTATATTTAATTAAAATAAATTAATTTTAATAATACTAATTATTTTATTTACTTTAGAAAAAGGATTAAGAGATAATGCTTTTCATAAAACAGCTCTTATTTCTCTTGAGTTGTGGCAAAATTTAGAACATACTTGATCTGAAAGTGAAGAATTAATTACTCAACTACGTCATTTTGAAGCTCAACTTTCACCCTTTGATCTTCCTTATGTTTCAAATATCGATACACCTAAAATTTGATAGAACTCAATTAAGACTCAACCTCGACATCTGGCTGAGCTTGCATATAGAATTTTTTCTATCAATTCTACTCAAGCTAGTTGTGAAAGAAACTTTTCTGCTCTAAAATAGATTTTGGAAGAATGAAGAACTAGCTTGGATTTAAATAATCTAGAAGCAATTGCCAAAATTAGGTCATATTATATGACTAATATCCAACACGAGTTGAGTTTTTCTGATCAAGAGTTGACAAATCTTGATCTTCAAGATAGATGTAATATTACGTCAATTGATAATATCATTAGTTATGATGAAGCAAATTAAATAAGGATTAGTGAAGGAAGTTTATTAGATAATAATAGTTCTAATTCTTTACTAATTGAGGAGATTGTTGATTTGAGTACAGAATATTTTAGAGAAGGACATTCTGAAACTTTTGTAGCAACACAAATTCAAAATATTCAAAATGTTTCTTCTAGTGATTTAGATTATGATCCATCTGATATATTAAGTAGTTTTTTAGAATGGGAAAGACAGGAGGAAAATAATAATTTGTAAATAAACTTGCAAGTATTGGAGTATATTATAATCAATTCTTAATTTTGATATGCAACACGCATCTTTAATATAACTACAATATATTCACAATATTATATATATTATATATACTATATACATCACATATATCATATATATTATATACATCACATATATCATATATATTACATACGTCACATATATCATATACGTTACATATATCACGTATATCACATACATCACATATGTCACATATGTCTTTATGTTATACTACCCTATGTCAATATAGCTCAAAGATAGTATAAGCTCTATGTCATAGTCATAGTGCTATAGGTAGTGACTACTCTAAGAAATATCTGCAGCTTTAATTATGAATATAGTTACTATTACTATTTTAAAATAATTATATACATATAATCTTAAAATAGTAATAATCTTTTTGGTACCCTCTCTGTGAAGACAAAACTGAAATTAAAATTGACAATCACAAAAGTAATTCAAACTGGATCTAACAAAATTAACTAACTATAAAATAGAAAGATAACTTCAAAGATTAATTAATCTTTTTGATCTATCTTAATTATCTAGACAATAAGAAAAGAACTTATGTTAACTGATCTATAATTTATTTATTGCTGATATATCAAGAACAGAAGTCTCAACTAGTAAATATCAATTATAACTCTGATTTCAGAATTATTCAATCCACCCTGCAACTAAAATAACTGATATATTTATAACTTATATGAGGAAATTACCACATTTAATCAATAGAGAACACATTATACTCAAAGATCAAGATTCAGTACTTCAGTTAACATTCCAGTCAGAACTCCTACATCAGTCTCATTATCATCCACTTCAGTCTTAACTTCCAACACATTCTTCACTAATCTTCTCTATAGAAGAAGAGCTCCAGTCCAGCCAAGAAATACAATAGAAGAAGAATCTTCAGAAGAAGAAAAAGTTCACCTTCCTATCCTTTTAGACTTGTCCCTATTATAGTCTCAAAGAAATCAAGAAGAAGAAAATATGGCAGATCAAGCTGTATAAGCATTAGTCACTATTCTAGACCTATTAATACAAGCTATAATAATATAGTAAAATAGATAAGTTGAGTTAACAACAGTATTACTTCTCTTTTACAATGGTAGAATACATAAAGATCTTATGAATTGAATTGAAGAATTCACTCGTGCAGCAAATATAAATAATATAACAGATTCAAGAAAAGTAAAGATAGTATCTGCCTACTTAAGAGGAATTATCTCAATCTGATATCAGCAAAATAAACTCACAAACAATAATTAGTCTACTAGTTGGAATAATAATGATGATAATAATTCATTTTATCAAATCTTCATTGTCCAGTTTAGAATTAATGCTTAAGTTTTAGTATAACAATAATAACTGAAATTAAGAATGCAAGAAATAAATAAGGATGTAATTTCATATACTGAGAATATTTGCACACTACTTAGAAAAATTGATCTAACAAATACATATCCTGTCACTTATTATATCAAGCAATTTGTAAAAGGCTTAAAGTTAAAGATTACTTTTCATATAAATAAATCTAACTCAAACACTCTAGATGTAGTAATCACAGAAGTAATCAGTACCAAATCTAGCTACAGGCAAACTTATCAGAATCCTCTTAACTTCATCTTGCTTATATCACAAAATCTTGACATCCTCTTCTCTATTTCAAGTTTAACAAATGATATGAGTAAAGTTATAGCTAATTTAACTGAGCAAGTAAAGAAGCTGTCTACTTAGAATAATCAGAATTCTAGTAGTCATCCTAATTAAGACAAGACTTATTATAATTGTAATAAAAGTAATCACATAACTCATGATTGTAGAATGATAAAGAAAAAAATAAATAACAATAATAATAATAATAATATCTTAAATATTAAGTACTTTAAATGTAATAAAATGAGATATTACGCTAATAGCTATATAAAAAGAAATATGAATACTAGACAACCAGCTCATTTTGAAATCAATACTACCACTATAGTACCAGATAATAATTTTTTATTATAACAACTATAATAACTTCTAGATAAATAGTCCATAATACCCTCATCTCTTAATATCATCATCACTAATAATAATAATACTTCACATTTAAATTAGAGTCTATACCTAAAGAAGGTCAGAGTATGAGTCAACTCCAAAAATCTTTAACAACATTCTTACAATAATTATTAATGGAAATTATAAAAGAAATAAAAATCTAGAAAAAAAAAATGAAAAAGTAGTAGATGCAGTCCACTGTAAAGAAAAAGTAGAAAACCAGCCTATCAGAATAATAATTGATAGTGGATTAGTTAGTAATATTGTGTCAGCCAGGTTCTTAAAATAAATAGGAAGAAAGATTAATAAGCCATCTAATATCAGTCTTATGGAAATAAATGAAAAATCAGAATGACTATTAGGAGAAGTAGAAGGATTGAAAATAAAAATTAGAGATCTTAACCAACAAATAGATACTTTAGTCATGAAAAAGGCAGAGTATGACCTATTGCTTGACAACTAATAGGTAAAATAATCCAAAGCTATTTTAAACTGGGATGAAGAACTTTTGAGTTTTGAGAGTTTACAATTATCCCAGTTACTTGTACTCAACAGAGATTAACTATAAAATTGATTAGTCTCAAAAGAGAACTTGAGAGTTCCACTCTTGAAAATGATAATGATGAATATGAATTTGAAGAAGAGAAGTTAGTTGATCAGTCCCTATATATAATACATGAAGAGTAAAGTGAGTAGCTTATACTGAAAGTAGAAGTTCAAGAAAATCTTATAAAAATTAATGATGAAATTATTGAACAAGAAGAAAAAGAAAGAATTTTTAGAAGAGATTAGAAGATTATAATGCCTGCATTCATAGTAGAAAAGAAAATAATTATGTTCAATATAAGAAAGAACAAGATATATATAGACAGTTGGAGATATTATCTCAACTGTCATTAAATACCACTCTAACTATGATTAAATTAGACTTGAATCTAGAACAACAACAACATCT